CCCCAAAACCCCAAAACCCCAAAACCCCAAAACCCCAAAACCCCATAAGGACAACTTCTAATTGGGTTAATTATTATTATTTTCGTAATATCATGGAAAGTTATTGGTCTGAAGACTCTTATGAGTAAGTCTCCAGGACTTATTACCCTAATGGGTCCATTCATAATGGGAATCAACCTACATTGACTTCCTTACCCACATCATACATTTAAATTAATATCCACTATAGGGGCGGCTATTATTCTAAGAATTACAAGTACCAAAAAAAACCGTACCAGAAAACACAGACTTTCGTCCCTAGCTATGGCTCTGAGATATCTCTCTACAAGACGAAGATGTGTAGGTTCATTGTCCAATACGGTAATTGCACACAAAACAACAATTGCATACATGCTCATAGCAAACATGAGTTAAGAAGAGGTAAGATACGGCCAAAGATCATCAATCATGCTCTGTTATAGATCCAAGGCAGCCCATCCCAGTCTGGGTGAAAGGGATTTATGAAAAGATGCAGAGAAATAAAAACAGGAATTACGCCAAATTTGATACAAAAACAACAGCTCATCATGAGAAGAGGAACTTCATTTTTGAAGAAGGTGACGAAGAGGCCCACAAACCGAAATTTGTTGGGTCAAATATCCCTCTGAACAGAGGTAAGTTAGTGAATTCTGACTATTATAGCACCTGCCAGATCTGGGACACAATGTAAGTTCTCAGCTATGGTCAGAAATTTTCATGAAGTTTCGTGAAAATCTAACAGCTAATTCATAATTTTAGATGATACACATTCTGTTGGGATCCCAGTCATTACTGGAACACCTATTCAGCAGACTGATAATATTGAGGAGGCGTATAAGAAACTGAAGATTGAGAACCTTGACCTCCAGGCGACCATTGCCAAGGTTCAGAGAGATAACGAGGTTTTGGAGCAGAAGCTTCAGGAGTCTTCCAAAAAGTGCGTGAATTATGAATCTGTCATTGAAAAATACAAAGGCGTGGCAGAGTCTATTGGGTCTGAGCTCGAGCAAGCCAAGAAAGGTCAAATGAGCAAGGAAAATCAGACTATCCAAGAGCTCAGGAAAATGGTTAAAGAACTACAACAAGAGAACTCTCAACTTACTGACAAGAACAAGGAGCTGCTAAATAGGGTTCATAACGAAGATCGGTAAGTACCCATTCCTTGACTTTGTAGATCAGGTGATGCTTACTATGAAATCGCTATGCATGCCATTAAACAGTTGGAGGAGATGACTAGAAGCTATTTGACAAAGAAGTTAATGAACCATCCAGTATTGACTCCTTCACTCACGATTGTTGATAAAAAGGATGTGTTCAATATTCTGGATCATGAACCATCACATCCCTATAATAGGATTCAGAAGGTGCAAAAAGCTAAAATCTTCCCTCCTATTATGAAAGCAGTCCAGCTTAGAGCAGAGCTCAAGAGAATGATCGAGGAGCAAGAGAGCTATGATGAAGGTACAAAGGAATCAGGTTTCAATACCTATAGTAAAAACTCTGAAGAGCTGCTTGAGAAGATTTCCCAGCTCGAATCTAGACTTACAGATAGAAACCAAGAAATTAAGGGGTGCAATTTTCATAAAAGAGAGCTTGATAATCAACTCCATAGTTGCAAAATGACGATCTCGAAGCTAAGAAATGAGTTAGAATTTACCAAGAAGAATTATTATCAGCTGAAAGAAGATGCCTCGAACGCTTATACTGAAGAAGATGTGGCTGACTATAAAAGACAGATTACCCAGCTACATGAAACTATTAGAAAATACAAAAAGGAGAACACTGACTATAACGACCAAGTAACAGCACTACAGAGAAACCTGGTAAAGCTTAGAGCAGCTGATGCTGAAATCGCGAACAAAAATCAGGAAATTTCTGGATTGAAGAAAGCTCAAGAAGAACAGAGCAAGCTTATTACTGAGAGCGAGCAGAAGGTAACCTCACTGGAAGCTGAACTTCAGAAGCTCACCCAAGAGAAGGTATGGTTTTGGTCTAATACTGTAGCAAGGAATTGAACAAGATTTAGGAGTAAAGATCAACTCTCTCAAGCAAGATGTGGCTAGAAGGAACAAGATAATATTGAACCAGAAGAAACAGATTGACAGTCTAGCAGATTCAGAAGCGCTGAAGCACCAAAATGAGGCACTGCAGCAGAGACATGTTCAGTTGTGTGGTAATTTAGCAGCTTTGATGTGTAGATTCTATTGAAGCGATGCTTGAGTGCAAGGAGACAAACGAACCCATGAAAATACCCTGCTTCACCCCATCAGGTAACACTGTTGAAAAGGAGGTCATGCAGAAATGGATACTGTAGGATACTTTGTGAGTGATTTGTTATAGAAATGGTCAGAAGGATCCATGGAATGGAAAACCATGTAAAGACATAATCAAGAATCTCTTAGCTACAGAGCTAAACATCCTCCTAGATCAATATAAGGTGATGACTCAATCGTAGAAGAGAAGAGGTTATAAGTATTCAATGTTCATGAAGAATCTTGGGGTTTTGGGGTTTTGGGGTTTTGGGGTTTTGGGG